AGCTGAGAAGCACTACCCACTGCATGATCAGGGTGCAAATGGACAGGGCAGGGTCCCAGAGGTGCCATGGGTTGATAAGCATTTGGGTCCTGCTACAGCAGTACTTGGGAGCAATTTACCTAATAAAGAAAAACTGGACCCCTCAAAAGAGGAATAAATGCATTCTGTCGAGCCAAGTGATCACTAAATATGTAAGTGATGGAAATGGCCAAGATGGTGGGTAGAGAGCAGGAGAGTATGGAATAGCTTCAGTCCCAGGGACCAGCAGTTAGCATAATGGCTATATCACTGGACTCCCATGTAGTCGACCACGGTTCGCATCCCGGCCCCAGTGGCTTAAAACTCGCGCCGGGTACTTGTGCATGCATGCCCAAGATCCCGAGAGGAGAACAGAGAAGAAGGGATTGCAGCGTGGCCATCCCCCCTGGGGGGTGATTTCTCGCTTTCTGTCTCTCTGTCTCTCTCTGTCCTGTCTGGCAAGCGCATGTGCCCTATAGCAAAAACCTCTCAAAAAAAAAAAAGGAATAGCTTCAGTCCTGAAGAGAGAACCTGGAAAACTGCCCTGGGTGTGTGTGAAGACACAAGCTCCTTTCAGAACAGGGCTTTCCCAGGTGTGCTACCTGTATTTCTTCTTCCTTCCCTTCTCCTATTCTTTTCCAGTTGGTGCCAAAAAGTGTAAGAGCAGCTGTGGCAAAGATAAGAAATCGGTTTTACTAAACCCTTCTTGCAATCATCCTTTTCCCCATAACTTCCTTTTATACTGATTACCTAAACATAAATGGTGGACTAATTTGGACAGGACCAGCAGATGGTGTAATGGTTACATCAGTGGACTCCGACAAAGTCAACCATGGTTCTAGTCCCAGACTCAGTGACTTAAAACTCACGCTGTGCTCCTGAATGTGCATGCCCAAAATTCCGAGAGGACAGTGGAGGAAAAGGGATTGCAACATGGCCATATCCCCTGGGAGCTGATTTCTCATTTTCTGTCTCTCTTTCTGGCAAGGATAGTGTCCTATCGGAAAAAAAAAAAAAAAAAAATCTCTCTCTGAAAAAACCTATTGAAAAAAAAAAATTCCCTCTCTGAAAATAAAATAAATTTTAAAAGTTTTAGATATTTTTTCACTTATCCACTGGTGGCAAAGGACATTTTCATTATAACTTGAACAACAACAGCAACAACAACAACAAAAAAACAGTATGTGTGTGTACACACACACACACACACACACACGCACACCCCTAATAACATGAAGATTAAAGACCCAGATGTAATAATGCCAAATCCTTAAATAAATGGACAACTAAGCTCTATTAAAAATAAAGAAAAAGCCCTGGCAGAGTTTATTACAGGATTTTCTTTTTGAAATCATGAAGTCTTAGTTGACTTACTCTTACAGTTTAACCAAAAATAACCTTTCAGCTAGTGGTTAGGGAGGGAAAAGGTTTCTTTATATCTCTTAAGAGAATATTGAAAAATGGTATTGTAATTTAAAAATTGAGAAAATTGTTAAATTTTTCTGTATTAAATATTTGAGGAGGAAGAAAGGGGTGAACGCTTGACCATTTTTACTTAATTATACAGATAAATTGTGGATTTATCCTTCAGCCCCCATCTCTGTGTTTAAGATATTAACTAAAAGGAAAACAAAGTTTGGAAGAAGCTAAATGAAATATTTAAGAGATGAAGTAGTTTAATAATCCTTTATCCATTCCCGTGAACATTCTTTCCTTCTTGACCCTTGTTCTACATTTTCTAGGAACATCCTCCATAGTTAAGACCCTTCTGTTTACTGCACCAAATTGTAATTCTTAGTGTCACTTTTCTCTTCCTTCCAGAGCTTCTTTGAAGGGCAGTCTGCACCCTGGGACTCCGCTAAGAAAGATGAGAACAGAATGAAGAACAGATATGGGAATATCATTGCATGTAAGTGTTGGCAGTGTCATTGCGCTGTTGTATAACTTCCTTTTCGTATCTGATGAGATTGACCACCAGGCTCATGCAGGGAGAATTTAGAGTGCAATTACTGCCTTCATCCTGCTAGAAGAGCTGGTGTGATACTGGTACTAAAGAAAGGAAAAACTATGTGAATACCACCCCTTCCGTCCATGCATTCTTATTGTAGGCCCTGTTTTACTTTAAGATTTAAGGTTTCGATAACATAGGTAATGTTAAAATGCTGAGAGGAAAAAGCATTTCAGAAGGAGTAAACATAATGGTCTGAATGTCTCCCAGCTGCTTGTGAGAATGAATGGAAATAATGATGCACAGCATGTCTCAGTGCAAGGAACTGGGAGTTCTCTGCAAACATTAACTCATTAATCCTCTGGACACTGGGTTAGGTGGGTCAGTAATAACCCCATTTTAAGGACAGGAAACTGAAACTTAGAAGTTAAATGATGGTTCCTGTAACACAACACTCATTAGCAAAAGAGCTAGGATTATATCTTAGAAATTCCCAGTGCCTGTGAAACTGAATGTTACCAATCCATAATGCCTTGGACGGTTTTTAAATCGAGCCCAACCTCATTAAGGTTCCGAAACGATGCTGAGATTGATGAGCCTCCTTCCTGCAGGGTTCATGCTACCCATCCCCTGCGTTAAACCACTCCAAGTCGTACATGACTGCATCAAGGTACTGAGGGGCCCATAGTCGCCTCGCAGAATTAATACTATTTACGAAGATACGTAAATTGAGACAACAATAACAGCAATGTGAGGCTGGCCTAGAGAGCACCTCGCTCATTGTGTCCCATTACTCCTGAGGGAACAAACTTGGAAGGTTTGGGTATTACAGGGAAGCAATATATTGGGTCATTGAAAAAATCATGACACATTTTTTAATAGAAAAACAGGAAAAAATACATCATGACTTTTCCAATGACCCAATGTTAGCCTTATTGATGGCGAAAGTGCAGTTAAATTTTATTCACCTGAATTAACATTTCTTAGTATGACAATATAGATTCCATTGTCTGTGCTACCCAAAACAGAATCCCCTACCCTTACTTGGGATATGGCTGGTATAACTGAGGAACTGATTTCTTTTTAGGTTTATTTATTTATTTCTTCCATGAGAAAGAAAGAACACAGAGAAAGGCACCCCCAACAAGGTGCAGATGCCACAGTTCACACCCGGTTTCAGTCAGCCTGGGTCTCAGGTATGCACATACATGCCTGGCACACTCAGAATGGGCCCAGGACTTGAACTCAGGAACTTCTCCATGCGGGTTTAGTTACATTACTACTGCAACACTGCCCAGCCCCAGAAACTGAATTTTTAATTTTGTTTAATTTTGTTTATTTTGAATTTAAATAGTACATAAGGCTTACCAGATCACACAGCACAGACCAGCAGTATGCTCTATAAAAGGAAATGAGGAGGAGGGGGCGCTTACATATATCAAATGTCCCAACTGAGCATGCCCTGTTTTCCTTTGCCCAATAATGCCAATCTATTGGTTTTACAGGGTACAAACGCTAGCTTTATGTGTTTCATTGGTTCATTTTAAGGCTTGTTGTATTCACTTAGTTCTCTAGTGGTTGTGCAGTGATTGTCTTTTGTAAATGGGAAATGCTAACTTGAAGTCAAGGGTTTCGTTGACCCTCAGCAAATTCAAGCAACATTTGTGTGACACTTTCTCAGTACTGGATGCTCAGGATACAAAGGTCATCAAGACAAGAAGTGTCCTTTCCCCCAGGATAGAATAGACCAGGCAGATAACAGACCACTGTGACTACAGCCCAGTAGTGCAATGACACAGCTCTAAGTTGGAGTCCCACGTACAATGCTATAGAGGCTCGGAGGAGACATTACTTCTTGGCCTATGTGAATCCTTCCAAGAACTTCCAAGTTCCATCATGTCCTCTGAAGGTCACCTAAAGTCGTGAACCATCAGAGGAATCCAGGTTTTCTTTCTCATAGTTCACTGGACACTTTCCAGGATTTCCTTTAGCTTTGCAACAAACCCCAAGGGAATTCATAGATATAAAATGGGGACTTCTTATCAAATACCAAATGAACTAGGACGTTGATGAGGCTTTGTCTTGCAGCCACTGTAATATTACCAGTGTGGGCCTTATAGAGAGTGTATAGGAGGGAGTGTCAGGAGGTGTGGTAGGAGGTATGGTGTTAGGTGTGCTGAAATCTAACTGGCCTTGGCCAACTGTGAATCTGCTGTTCTCTGATGTACAATGTAACACTTGAGAAATATCATTGAATGACGAATCAAAAAACGATAAAAGCTAGCATTTGCAGAGCACTTTTATATGCTAGACACCACTGTAAGTACTTTTATATGCTAGACATCACTGTAAGTACTTTACATGTGTGAGAGTACTTCTAAAAGTTGGTGGAATTAAAGTATGTATATATTTTGGTGCAAAAGAATTCTGAAATCCATACATAATTTTTTCATAATATGAATTTTCCACAAACTTGTTGAAGACCAATCATGTTAACTCATTTACTTCCTATAACACCTCCATGAAATAAGAAATACTATTGCATCTGTCTTATAGATAAGGAAATTGAGGCATAAAGAGGATTAAATAATTATACAGTTAATAAGATGCAGAGGTAGGAGTCTAACCCCAGTTTTATTTTGTGGGTTGTTTTGTTTTGTTTTGTTTTGTAGGTAGATAACAGAATTAAATAGGGAAGAAAGATTTTATTATTTTTTTAATTTATGATTGTTTTTAATTTTACTTTCTTTTGTACATTCAATCACTATACATCACTTAGCTTGCAAAGTAAATTCTCCCAACATGAATACACTTCATACCAGTCCAGTTGAGGATACTACACATGTTATCATCAACAGAAAATAATCTATTTCTGTGTCCCTTAAAGGTCTTGCCTCTCTATTTTTCTCCTTACTGTCTTTCCTTAGACTCTCCTCTAATTGTTCTAAGAACTAAACAAGGTATTAAGCTCTGATTTGTAATCAAGAAAAATATTATCCTAGAAAAAACTAGCTTACTGAGCTGAAGTAAGAATGAAATATTTCTAGTCATTAGTATGCATCCAAGTGTTTGCCATCATTTTATTAAACAAAAAAGGCAAATATCTAATACAATTTTAGCTTCTTATTGTTTATCAAACTCTGATAATTTCCTTTTCTTCTGTCTAACTGGAAAATTTAATGGATATTTACCAAATTGTCAACAAGTTGTCTTATTTAGCTACCTTGGGTTCATTCCCTAGATAGAGCACTTTAGCTGACTGATTTGAAACAATTCTCTGAAGCAGATATTTTGGAGAAGATCATCTTTAAGTGTGCAGGCCTAGTTGCATCTGTTAAATTGATGATGAAGCTCTGGGACTCATTCAAACCATGCCTTTTTTCTTTTATTTTCATCATACTGAAGGAGTCTGAGGTAAGACTTTTCTATTACCTGTCTCCTTCCTCCCACTATGAAGCCCTGCATTTATGCACCCACCATGCATAATTTTTCTCCATCTGTTCATCCTACTTAAAAGGGTACAAAAGAAAGAATATTATCCTAATGAATTATGGAGATTCTTTAATACTATTTTTATCCTTCCATGGAAAACAAGTTATCTTATCCAATTATAGCAGAAATAAGATGATATTGGGCTGACCTGTGTCCTGGAGACTTCTGTCCGAGCTTCCTTATCTGGTTTCTGAGTCTTCCTTCTGCCTTTCCCTGTGCATTCATGTTAGCTTCTCCAATCATTTGCTATTGTTTGCTAAGTTCCTTTAGAACTGTCTAACATTGGTATAATTGGTTATAAATGCATATTATACGTATTATATATAATATATACACATGTATATATATATTATATATATAATATATATATATATACATGTTTTATATATATATAGGTAAACTGGTTATTTATAGAACTCTATCAGGCTCTATGCTGGCAAATCCTGGGACAGCAATCACATAGACCACCTGCTAAACAGTTACTAATGTTTCTATGGATTGAGAAGAATAACTACTCTTGGCTTGAATATCAGAACTGCCCTGGTGCAGACCATGCCCAGTGTGTGTGTTGGCCCCCAGGGTCTCAGTGCAGTCACTAGGGAGCCCCCTCCCAGCTGGCATGAGCTCCCTGATTGATTCTGATTTCTGATGAGGGCACCGCAGTGCTAGCACCACTGTGAGAATCGCCATTTGGCAACTGCTTCATTGGAGGCTGCCTGGGTTGTTTTTATGGCAGTGAAAATAAATAATAGCTATTGTGAGAGTTGTAGAAGGATTTCAGGAATAAAATAGAAAAAAAAAATACTTACCTAAACCTTGCTTATGTATATACCCAGAAATACAAAGGTACTTCAAAAAGTTTCTGGAAAAAAAGGTGGAATTCAACTGTGAGTTTTTTTGGTACAAAAAATATTTTGAAAACCATACATAGCTTTTTCATAAATTCACAATTTCATGAACTTTTTGAACACTCCACAAACATAATGGTTGTTTCTTTGTCAGCAAAGAGAATAGTGTTACCACCTCCAATTTCATTCACTGGAAGTCTGTCTCATGAAGCCTAGGCCTTGGGGACAACAACTAACTAGGATGAGGAATTGGGGATTCCCGTCAACACGCTTAGAGATTCTTGTTAGTGCTTTTCAAAGAACATAAGAATGCTTGTAATGATCACATTCATTGTTTTGCAGCAGTGTTTGCATATAAAATGGTTTTAATGGTGCTTAAGAACCGTTTATTGGCTTTTGCTTTTAAGTAAGTTAAACTTTTCCCTTATTTACACTATAAATTTGCTGAGCTAGTCCTTTCCCAGCATAAACTAAAACACTCCATCTACCATTACCATCACCACACACACAGACGTAGCCCTCCTAATACACTCAACATTTCTCATTGTAATTAACTAACTCTACGCCCAAGGCACACACCAAATCTCCCAGCTAACAAGGCAGCCCCCTGCAGCAGGCTCC